GTCCATTGCCTCGACAGAGGCAGTGGACCCATGCTTTTGTCTATCGACACACTGCGCAAGCTTAAGGCCAGAATTGACTTCGAGAGTGATCTTGTGTGCTTTAGGGCTTTGGATGATGGAAAGCTTGTACAGGTCGAACGATCTCAGACGGGGCATCAACTCATTCCCATGACCGAGGATTGGTTGGCCAAAGGCCAGGCCACTAAAAGCCCAGTCCCCAGTCTGAGCAGTTTTGTCAATATCTAGGGACAACTCCTTCCTGTTCCTAGTTCCGTGGGAGCAGCGAAGGTCCCAGACATAGCGGGACACGGGGTGAAAACCACTCTGCAGCACACTATTTCTAGTAGTGAGCTGGGTTTCAGGAGTGATGTTAATGGAATTCATGGTAGTGATGCTAGTCAATCTGTACTTGAGTCTGGTGAAACGGCACAGAGTGAGCCACCACAGACGAGCAGAAGGAGATCCGTGACGTTCGCAGCTGATTGTGAGCTCCAGGATACGAACGGTAGCAGCCCCAACCAAGGCCTCCTCAGCGTCGACCATGCCGAAGCCCACCAAGGCGGACCTTCAGGCCGAGCTTGCCTTGCTCGGGGAGACAGCACCAGCAGGATGGACCAAGCTGGAGCTGGAACAACGTCTTCGGGAACTACGCGAGCTGGGGGTGACCGACCACGAGAATGTGAGGGCGAACACGAGCATGGAGAAGATGATGAAGGACTTGAGGAGGGCCAGCCGGCTCAAGAGCACGCTGGCCAAGTACTGCACCGAGACGTTGCAGCTCGAGCTCACGGGCAACGAGGTGATGGCCAAATTGATCGACAAGGCCACCAAGGAGATATACCGAGTGTGCCCTGCCGAGGGCCACGACTTGGTCAGCTTCGGGAAGCATGCGGACGAGTGCTACATCACGCTGGCCACGGAGTATCCCGAGTACGCCACATGGGTCAAGACAACCTACAAGGAGAACGGCGAGGAACATGTGGAACCACGGTTGGCGCGCTTGGCGAAATGGCTCGTGGATCAGGACCAGAAGCCCCTGCCCAAGTCCAAGGCAATGCTTCGCAGGGAGCAGGGCTACATGAAGATGCGAGGACCGATGACATCTACGACGCAAGGCGGGCGAACCAGTGGAAGTCGGGCCAGCACGGACCCGATGCCAGCACAGGCCATGAAGATGATGGGCGAGATGGCCGAAGCCCTGGAATCCATGAGGCAAGAGTTGGCCGAGGTGAAGGGCCAGCGACCACGCAAGACAGCGGGCAAGAGCGACGAGGGCCACCTCACGGACGGTTCGTTCAGTGTCCTGAGCAACTCCCCCCAGAAGGAGATGGAACACGATCTGTGAGAGAGCCTAGTGTAGGACCTCAACAGGAGCACGAGACTATGAGTGCATCCCAGCGGTTGAGTGCCCAGCTGAAAAGCCAGAGCACCCGAGCGCTTCCTGTCAACCGAGCCCGGGCCCTGGAGAGGCAAGCTTGGTCTGTAGTGCCTGATTTATTTCAGTCCCTTGTAGGTTTCCAAAGGCCCTATCTCATGGAATGTGCCTGTGAAGCCGACAGCATCCTTTCCAGCACTGTGCAGACGGTGGCAAAAAGCGAGGAAGCTGCCACACGGTGTGCCTTGTACAACGGCTGTGACTTATCATGTGATGCTGGAGTGCGATTGATCATGGCTAGGATTGAAGCTGAGCGACCACAACATGTGTGGTTGAGTCCCCCCGGAAGTGCGTTCTTTCCTTTACAGCATTCGAACCAAGCGGACAAAGCCCAAGCTGAAGCCCTCAAAGCCAAGCGTAGGGAAGCCCTCAAAGTGTTTGTAGGATGTACTTGTGTCATGCACTACGCCATCCAGAAGGGAATCCATGTGACCTTGGAAGTAGCGGATCGGTCTGACGCCTGGCGCCTACCTTTGCTCAACCAGCTGCAACAGAAGTATAATATGTTCAAGGCGGTCGCTAGTGGATGTGCTTTCAATTTGAAGGAGGTTGCGAGTGGTAGGCTTGTTCAGAGGGGCTGGCGTGTCCTTACAACGCACAAGCGGCTGGCAACCACCTTGGAGGCCCCATGTCGTTGTTTCAAGTCCTATGTGCATGGTCGATGCACCGGGAAGACAGGGCTTACGTCAGCCCGGTACACACCGGACTTTGCGTATCGGGTTGCCAGGGTGTTGGTTCAGGAAATGGATCATAGTGAGACTCTTCAAGAATGTAAGGGGTCCAGCTACTTGTGCCAGGCCTTTGGTGGAGGAGAGTTTTGTACTTGTGGCGAAGTAAGCATGCCTCACAATCCCAGGACTTGCGCAAGTTGTTTGATGGGACGACAAGATTTGGACGATTTCGGAAGGGTTGCGGGAACTTCGGATGTTTCAGAAGGGCAGGGTCTTTCGGAACAGGGTGAAGGTTTTATGGGAACTTGTGTTTCGGATTGGGATGAGGAAGTTCATCTCGCTAAGGAGCAGCTGAACCAAGCCGAAACCAGCGCTCGAGAACTTCTTGACAAGCAAGATTATAGCCATCGAAGCTGTGAACGATTCCTCGCCCTCTTACCCTACCAAAGCAAGAGTCATCCCCGCCAGGCCCATCAACAGGAGAAACCCCGATATCTGATCCTTGGTACTTACGCTTGTGGGAACCACTATGGCATCACCAAGGTGACGTATCAGCTTAGGGAAACGTGCCAATACTTGTTGCGGTACCTCCAACACTGGTCTCCTGAACCCGTTAGATGTAGTAGCTTGGTCATCCACGACAACTGCCCCATGACGGTCCACCGAGATGTGAACAACCTTCCTGGTTCAAAGAACTACGTCATAGGAGTGACCGCGTATCAACATGGCGAATTATGGTTAGAAGGTCACCAATCGGGCCAGTCCTATCCCAGCTACAACAAACAGCTTCCGTCAGGCGAGTACAAATCAGGACATCTCCGGGCTACACGGCGCCAGGTGGTCGTGTTCGATGCCAGGAAATGGCATGCTGTACAAGCTTGGCAAGGACTCCGTCAAATTCTGGGAGGATACACAAGTAGAGGGATTGAACACTTGAGTGAAAAGGAATTTCAGCTGCTTAAGGATTGTGGTTTCCAGTGGCAGGGTCTTGGGGTTAAGGAAGATGTTCAGGCAGTGTTCCAACGGCCAGCGAAGAAGGGGATCCAGCTTGAGGAAGAAATCAAACGAAAGTTGTATCTTCTGCATGCCGCCACTGGCCATGGGAGCACCCGAAATCTGATCAACGCCCTGAAGCGTAGGAACGTGGATCCGTTGGTTCTTAGGCTCGCTGAAGAATTCCAGTGCCCGATTTGCCACGAAAGGAAGAAAGCTCAACCCCGACAATTGGCTTCCCTCCGAAGGATGGATCCAAGTGTTTGGGAAGCCGAGAGCTTTGAGGCTCGATCCTGCTGGCAGTCTTAGGTCCTCGAGTGTAGAAGACTTCTGTGATAGGAGTGAGATATACCTGGACATTATTCCGGGCGAAGCTCATTGGCAGATCGGTACGGCCGAGAATGCCATTCAGGGACTTAAGACCGTCATGACCAAGCTGAGCAGCGAGGATCCCAGCTTGACCGCGGAACAGGCTATGAGCCTGGCTGTGAGTACGTTCAACCACAGGGAAATGATCAGAGGTTTTTCACCTGCACAACACGTACTAGGCTGTGCGCCGGATGAGACTGGGCGACATGTGTTTGGAAACCAACAAATCCGCGACGACGTGATCCTGAATCAACCACTACAGGATTTCCGAAAAGAGACGGAACTGCGGGCGACCGCAGAGAAGGCATTGGTTGAGTGGCAAGCCCAACAACGGCTGACCAGAGCAGCTAATTCTCGTGCAAGGCCCAGTCATCGATATCATCCCGGAGACTTAGTATACTTCTGGAGGACACAAGAGTCCGGGAAAGGAAGAAGGTGCCCAGGAACAGCTCAAGGGCGCTTCCTCGGGCCCGCACGGATCTTGGCCATGGAGACAAGACAGTCAGAGGAGGGCGAAGCGCGTCCTTCACACGCCATCTGGGTGGTGAGAGGGAGACACTTGATGAAGTGCAGCCCAGAGCAACTACGGCCAGCCAGCCAGAGGGAGGAGTTGGTGGAGTCTTTGGCCACGGATGATCAGACTCCCTGGACCTATACACGTCTGGCCGAGGAGATTGGGGGAACGCAGTACGAGGATATCAGCGAGGAGGTGCCCACTCCAAACGAGTGGCAACGTGCCCAAGATCAGGCAGAGGAGGTGCTACCACGAAGGAGCCGCATCCGAGGAAAGCGGCCGGCACCAGAGCGAGGCGAAGACCTGGACCTGGAGGACTCCGGCAACAACGAGCCGGGCCAGCCAAGCGTGGTACGGCGACGAGATCAACTTCCAGGTCCCCAACGACGTGAGGGCGCCAACGCGACGTGGCGAGACGAGGTCCCAGAACAAGCCTGGGCCGCTGAGGAAACTTGTCCAACGAGACAGCTGCGGTGGCCATCGAGTTGGAGATGCCAAACAGCAATAAAGGTTGGGACCGCTTCTTCAACAATCCGCAGGCCTACTTCGTGGGGGCCCTCAAGAGGAGGGCCGTTGAGGTCAGCGAGAAACGCCTGTCTCCGGAAGACCGGGAACGCTTTCGCGAGGCAAAGAATAAGGAGGTCCGCAACTTCATCGGGGCGAAAGCCTTCGAGGCCCTTCCGGAGCATCTGAAGCCTTCAAAAGAGCAAGCCATCGGCATGAGGTGGTTGCTCACCTGGAAGGCTCAGGAAGACGGGAGTGTCCGGCCTAAGGCCAGGGCCATATTATTAGGCTACCAGGACCCCGACTACGCCTTCCGCTCAACCACAGCTCCAGTAATGACCCGCCAGACGAGGCAGCTGTTCCTCCAAGCAGCCGCCAACCACAGATGGAGAATACAGAAGGGGGACATCACTGGAGCGTTCCTCCAAGGCCGGGAATATCCGAGCGAGCTTTTTTGCATACCCTGCGACGAAATCCTGGAAAGCATGAACCTCCCTGCAGGGTCAATAGTTCGATTGAAGCGCGCGTGCTACGGATTAGTAGACGCACCACTGGAGTGGTATAGGACCGTGGCAGAGTTTCTGGAATCCATTGGACTTACAAGACTGTGGAG